GCCCCAAATTTCATTTTCCCCCGGGGCACTCCAAACTTGCCTTTTAAATCATCTACAAGTCTCTCCTTTAGCATTTAGATCTCCCCAAAAAAATTCCCTCTCACTTGGTTCCAGTTCACCAAAATCTCGAATAAAACTATTACTACTATTGCTACTTCTATTACTATAACTACTACTACTACTACTACTATTACTACTACTACTACTACTACTACCAATAATAATATTAAAAGGTTTTCCGTCCTGCTGAAGGGTGTCATCGTGTACAGTAACCAAACACTAGAGGCAAAAATGGTAACATTTTCATACGAATATTTGGTAGGGAGATAAAACAGTGGGCCAGGAGCAAGACGGTTCCTCGGGGAGATGTAAACTTGTGAGGTAATATCTCTTACCTTTAACTCAAGTGTACATCTGCTATCATGTTTACACGTGCGCATGTACACGGAAGGCAGGGCAAGTGGACAGGGAGGCTTTATGGGTGGTTACTGTACACACACACACACACACACACACACACACACACACACACACACACACATACAGCTAATGAAATGATAGAGTGTGTAGTTGAAAAGTGCCTGGAGACAGGAGAAATTCATACCCAGAAGCAGATGGAACAGAGGCATGAAAAGCAGTAGCAAAAAACGCAACAGCACGAAAGAAATAAAGAAAGCTAATAATGCTAGAGAACCGGGAAGGAAGCAGAAGAGCCAATAACGAATACCTATGCGGAGGAAGAAAATATGAGGAACTATTTGGGAATGACATAGCATAAAATGCAAAACCTGAGCCGAAGTTGATGTACAGCCACATCAGAAAAAGACAGCTGTAATAAGGCTGAAAAAAGAAGTAGGGGAGCTCTCTACGAATAACTATGACGTATGTGAGGAGTTGAACAAACGATTGAAGGAGATATTCTTAGTGGAACCAGGAACAATGGCAGAGTCTCCAACGAGTACTGGATACATCCCGAACAAGAGAGGGAGATGTGAAAAAACTATCGAGTGATCTAGATACATCAAAGGCAAAGGGACCAATCAACATCTCGCCATGAGTTGTGTTAGGGAGCAGAGGAATTGTGTGAACTGCTAACGGTGAGCTTCAGCAAGTTGCTTAAGACAAGACACATGCTAGAGGTCTGATAAACAGCGAAACCATTATTAATATTAAAAAAAAAAAAGACGGACAGGCAGCACTGGACTACAGGTCAGTGTCACTAACATGCACATTATGTAAGCTAAATGGAAAAGATTATCAGGAAAACAGTAGTGGAACACCTGGAAAAGAGCGGAATCATAAACAACAACGGGCCGGGAGAGTACCGGCGAATAAAAAAAAAAAAAAAAAAAAAAAAAAAAAAACCAGGAAGGTTTTCGAGAAGTTAAATCCTGTCTCACAAACCTGCTAGAGATTTATGACAAGGTAACGAAAGTAGGAAAGGGATGAGTGAATTGTATATTTCTGAACTGCAAGAACTAGGACAACAGCTAAGAGGGCGTGCAGGAAATTACAGGGAAAACAGGGAGCTGTTAGGGAGGTGTTAGAATGGGCGTGTTTCCATGACATTCCACGAGGGTCAGTAAATGCGGGTTATTGGTGAATTGTTCCAGCGACGATATTGTGTCTTTACTTTCTTTACAAGAGTCAGTACTTAAGCCACTGCTGTTTCCTGCGCATTTCGACATAAGCAGGGCCAGTATGGAACCCGCATGTGATAAAGAGTGCAAAGCTGGTAATGTGCAAAGGTTAGCAACGAAAAAACTTTGAGGCGATGGATATGGCTTTGAGGAAAGGCTAGAGGAGCTAAAACTAGCGACATTAGAAAGCAGAAAGAACAGAGGTGACATGATTATAACGTACAAAATACTAAGAGGACCTGAACAAGGAGAGTCTGAGAGGAGGGTCTCGGGTACACTAGGTCACAACTGGAAGTTAAAAGCATAGTGGTTAGGAAGTGAAACGACCTAGGAAGCGAAGCAGTAGAGGCAGAATCTATACATAGATTTAAGAATAAGTATGATATGGCTCAGACAGCCAGGAGTGAGCAGCCAGCAGAAAGGCGGGGCCAGGGGCTGAGACTCTACCTCTGCAAATCACATTTAGGTGAGTACATATACGTACTGTACATACATATATACGTACATACATAAAATGTCGAAATTATCTTTCCTGTTCAATGGCTATCAATTAGTTTAATGTTTATTTCATACCTTTAAGTTGTGGGATAAACCCGAACTTTAGTAAAATAAGCTAATACACACGAATACAAGTTAAATGGAGCAACAAACAATAAGAAACTACCACCCTGTCTAGACAGCCAATCAGGTGGAAATAAGCTTGCAGTCATAATAATATTAAATGCCTTTAACTCCCCACTATCTAGTGGGAATTTAATTCTATATATTTTATTAGATATAATAAATCAAGAGAATCACATAACAGAGAAAAGAGGAATGTGAGTGTGAGGATATTGGAGTAGCTGGCTAGACGCTGTAGCGTTGACAGTGTGAGTGTGAGAATAGTGGAGTAGCTGGCTAGACGCTACAGCGTTGACAGTGTGAGTGTGAGGATAGTGGAGTAGTTGCTAGACGCTACAATGTTGACAGTGTGAGTGTGAGGTTATGGAGTAGCTGGCTAGACGCTACAGTGGAGTAGCTGGCTAGACGCTACAGTGTTGACAGTGTGAGTGTGAGGTTAGTGGAGTAGCTGGCTAGACGCTACAGTGTTGACAGTGTGGAGTGTGAGGTTAGTGGAGTAGCTGGCTAGACGCTACAGTGAGTAGCTGGCTAGACGCTACAGTGTTGATATCAGGGGAGGAGTAAACAACCAGACTATCATAAAACAGTGTGTTTATGTGGACTCAGACTTCATCATCCAATATCCAGCTTACTATTCGGATTCCAGTCATTTAGAGCAGTGGTCTTCAACCTTGCTGCACAAGTCTGCAACATATAATGATCAAATCTGTGATAAGGGCCGCACGTTTGTCAACATAGTGCAGTGTGGCACCTACATAAAAGTGAATTTATAATTTCATGTGAGGGCCGCATCTTTTCCTAGAAGGACCACATGCGGCCCACGGCCCACAGTTTGGGGACCCTTGATCTAGAGGAATGATACTGCATGAGATGGGTTATAATGTGTGACAACCCCGATTAATGACTAAGAAGGCACTTTCCATCCAGCTACGGAACACTGAAGACTGCAATGGTGATAACTTCCTATCGTGGTAAGTGTTCCTTTTACATATATTAGACAATACGTGGTCAGTAATAGGTACCTGCTAGCAAATGGTGTGGGTTATGATGCACAACTGTAACTAACTTCACAGATGTAAATATGAAAACCACCTAGTTTAATTATTTTATATTAGGCATTTGAATATTATACATCTGTTTACCCCTCCCTCCCTCCCTTTTTTTTTGAGCAATTGTAAAGCGAGTCAACAGGATAACGGTAAAGTTCTATTGATTGTTAAGTACCCAATGTGCGTGTAATTTCAGGTCCAGGAACCTTGTAATCTAATAGTGTTGATAGATAGACTTAATAAATCAAGGTATGTCACATGGCTGCATAATGTCGGAAATATACTGGCGCATATAATTGATCTATCATAATCGACCGGAAAAAAAAATAGTGGACTTTCAAAGACTTGTTAAAGTATAGATTTCAATCCTTAAAAATGTGATCATTGGATGAGGAAAAAATCCAAGACAGACCTGGGTAAAAAATTTATTTGTGAATATAACCTTCAAAACCTTTTCTTTAATAGACTTTTATCATTCCATAAAGCAACTTAGCGGAAGGCAACAATGGCAAACTATAAAAATAGCTTTACAATATGTATGGAAAAGAGCTATATAAAGAAAAACTATATATGTAAGCCCAAAACTGAAGTTTGTAGCAGCTGTGTTGGCTGACAACTTGGGCTTATCCGGGGGGGGGAACATGGACCCTGCTCCGAATGGGTCAGTAGGCCTGTTTCAGTGTTCCTTCTTCTTGTGTTCTTATATGAATATTTTAGAGATGGTATGAAGGCAACCTTTAGAATGGGCATGACTGCCGGAGTTGGAAAACAGTTGAAGTATTTTGTAAGATTATTAACACTTAAGACGCCCACGAGGGAGAATAAGAGGAAAGGATAAATAATAACCTACTGTTACCACTTCTGGCTCGTATAACTTAAAATGTTCTGGTTCCTAAAGGCTATTCAACCTGCTGTCTAGGCTATTTAAATTACATTGAAAAAGCAACCACTCTAGGGCCAGCATGTACATTTATATAAATTATGAAACATAAATTTAAATAGTCAATATTATGAGGAAGGACACAAAAACTCACTTATACAAAAATATATATTAATAGTAACGTTTATACAACCTACAATCCACTCTTACTTCATCACCTTTACTCCAGTTCACATTAGCACACTGATACTAGTGAGTAAAACATATATAAACATTTATAAACAGGGAGACTCCATGACACAACCCCCCCCCCCCCTTCCCCTACTACCTTCTGCTGGTCAGTCTACCAGCGGGCAAAAAACACCATACAAGTTTCTCTCCCAAAACTTAAACAGATCTCTGCACACTAGGGCCTTAAACAGGAGAACAAACCACCTTCTCACACCATTACATCTTGCTCCTTCTGCTGGGCTTTACTCCTCTCTCCTGGCTACTCTACCTGACCAGGAATAATACGCGTCCGGTTTCAGTACAATCCCGGAACTATGGAGCATTTTTTTACATAATATTTTTAATATATTACACCGTAATACCCACCCAATATAATTTTATAAAAGAACACGAAATAATTGACAAGGAAAATGTCTGTTTTGCCTCAGGAACAATAAGAAGCCACAGTTTGTAAACGAGAAAAAATTGGAGCCGAAAGAATAATAAAAAAACTAAAGAGTGACTGATCAACAGGATGATTTAAAGAGGAAGTAACGAGTACCTAAACCATTGGATATGTTAAAAATAATATTTAAGACGGGACACTTCGAGCAAAGTTTTTCTTCTGTAGCCATGAATGGGCATTTCCCCCTCAAGGTAGTTCCTTGATGCCTGCGAGAAGGCTCTTGATTTAAGGAATTGGTTGGTACCTGTTTCCCTCCCCCTCCTTCCCCCTTTCTTCCTCGGTGACACTCTAAAACTAGATTCGTCTCTTACAAAAAAAAAAAAAAAAAAAAAATTGTAAGGGAATGCTAAAACTAATAAAGGCTTATTTACAGTCAATCTGTACCACGGTTGTGCCTTGGGTATGCAGAAATATCAGGATATTAAACCCACTGAAGTATCCTAGCCAGTTTCTTAAACTATAAATAATTAACCATTGTTAGGAACCTAATTCTTCCTCTCTACTCGATGCAATATTGAGCGTCAATGACATGAAGACCTAATGTGCTGCTGTTGCTATCGATGTTGCTGTTTCTTTGCTATTGCTGCTGCTTCGACTGCTTCTGCTATTACCACTGCTAGTTCTGGTACTTTTACTCCCTCCACTATTACTGCTGCGATCGATACTTGACCTGCACACACACACACACACACACACACACACACACACACACACACACACACACACACACACACACACACACACACATACACACACACACACACACACACATACACACACACACACATACACATACACATACACACACACACACTCACACACTCACACTTACTCTCCACACACTCACTTACCCTGCTATCCTCATATAAACAAGTACATATCTGTATACTTCCTGCCTGTGTCATTCAGCAAGTACAGATAGGTAATTAGACATAGTCACTCACGACTGTCGAAGTAGATTTCGCTGAGACCAACCAGGGGCCGGGGAAGTCCAGCAGGATGTTGAGGACTTTACCGATGCGGTGACGAGGTCCAAGGGTGATGTTGTGACTGCCGGAGGTGAGCGAACCTGGCCAGCCGGAGACGGGAGACCTCACGGCTTCTCGTGGAAGTGTGTTCCCTCCTCACCGAAGTAAACCTCGGCCTTCGATGGCAGCTGGGAGGGAGAGAGAAAGAGAAATTAATACATTTCACGAAGTGAACCTCGTTGGGTTCTACTAATAGCGGACTTGTTGCTGAACAGTCAGGTTTGAAAGTGTTCAGTGGAGGGACAATAGGAAAGGTAAGCATTCTGGATTACCAAAGTAGTTTTATATCGTTTAATTGTACCGTGAATCAACTTTCAGAAGAGACTTCTATTTAATAGAAAATATTTCAAGAATTTGAAACGCACAGAAGAGTACATAATAGTTTACATAGAATTGTGTGTGGTGTGTGTGTGTGAGAGAGAGAGTGAGAGATTGTTGTTCATGTTCATAAAACAGACAAGATCAGCATCCCTACCAAGAGTTGAAAAGACTTCCGTTTTACAACATATTGTCCTTCCTAAAGTCGAATGTCGCCGTGAGTTGTGATGGAGCTCGTCCTCCGTCATGCGGCGTCTGGTCTCTGCCAACTTAAGCGCTGCATGAAATGACTGATAAATGTGACGCTAAAGACACAAGTCGCAATACAAGCCTTTATTAGGACAATATTTCACTCTATGCTGACGAAGACCTCAGTTGGAAGTCGAAATATGTAGAAAATTGATTTTACTAGTCTCATTACGGTCTTGCATACATTAGCCTGGTAGACAACAGAAGGTATTTAGTCTTGTTTATTAGTGAAAAACGTGTGTTAAAAGTTGTGCTCTTTGAGAGGATTCCTGGTCTTTCCTTTCTGTCATGAATAAGAAACAGTTCGAAAGAGATAAGACGAGAAATTCTGAAAAGCAAATGGAACTGACATTTAAGAATAAACGTAGCAAGACGCTTTCTAAAAACTTGATGTTAGAGAAAAGGAGATAATTGGTTAAGAAACAGTTAATATAAGATGGAACTGAGGCAGAAAACAATTCTTGAGAGCAGGAAGATGACTGTTGTAATGAGAGGAGTGAGAGAAGAATATGAAGCGAGTGAAGCAGAGAATGAGGCTGAGTGCCAACAGGGGTGAGTTGTGCTTAGTGAAATTATTAATGCAACTAGAAGTAATGCATGGAAAGTTGATGTGTTAAATGTATGATAGAAGGTGAGATTCCCAAGGTATAACAGAGATAAATAGAGACTGTGTATAAGGAACAGTGGCAAGAGTAAACAGTATTATTTGTATGCAAAGAACATAAGAAAGAAGGAACACTGCAACAGGCCTACTGACCCATGCGGAGCAGGTCCATGTCCCCCCCCCCCCGGATTGGCCCAATGACCCCCCCCCGGATTAGCCCAATGACCCACCCAGTCTGGTTACCTCTACTCAAGGAAGGAGCACGGCACCAGACCCAGCAGCACAAGCTAGTCAGGTCTAACTCACACCCACCCACACCCACATCATGTATTTATCTAACCTATTTTTAAAACTACACAACGTTTTAGCCTCAATAACTGTACTCGGGAGTTTGTTCCGCTCATCCACAACTCTATTACCAAACCAGTACTTTCCTATATCCTTCCTGAATCTGAATTTTTTCCAACTTAAAACCATTGCTGCGAGTCCTGTCAGGCTAGATATTTTCAGCACACTATTTACATCCCCTTTATTTATTCCTGTCTTCCATTATACACCTCAATCATATCCCCCCTAATTCTACTCTTTCTAGAGAGTGCAGATTCAGGGCCCTTAGTCTATCCTCATAGGAAGGTTTCTGATACATGGATCAACTTTGTCATCCTCCTTTGTACATTTTCCAGAGAATTTATATCATTCTGTAATACGGTGACCAAAACTGTGCAGCATAATCTAAATGAGGCCTAACCAAGGATGTATAGAGTTGAAGAACAACCTGAGGACTCCTATTATTTATGGTTCTTGATATGAAGCCAAGGATTCTATTAGCTTTATTGCGAACACTTATGCACTGTTGTCTTGGTTTCAGATTACTGCTAACCAGAACTCCTAAATCTTTTTCGCAATCCGTAATATTAAGATCTACATTATTTAGTTTATATGTGGCATGGTTATTGTCCTCTCCAACATTTAGAACTTTGCATTTGTCTATATTAAACTGCATCTGCCACTTCTCCGACCACTGCATCAGTCTATTCAAATCTTCCTGGAGTGCTCGAATGTCCTCGTCAGAATGAATTCGACGGCCTATATTTGGTGTCATCGGCAAACTTGCCGATGTCGCTCTTTATTGCCCCTCATCTATGTCGTTTATGTAGATTGTGAACA